AGTTACACAAGTTCCTTCTCAACCGCTCTATCACACTCTCGAGCTGCTCGAGGACAAAGAGGAGGATATGAGAGCGGAATTGCAATATGCCACAAAAAGGGCGAACTTATATACTAAGTTAGCAAGTCAAGAGGAGGAAATTCGAAAGCTCGTTGCTTCTCATTGCGGGTTGGCAAGTCCTGACCTGGTACAAGTACCGGATATGATCGACCAAGATAACAACCTGGTGTGGCGACATGGAAGCTTTAACGTGTGTATCCCAGTACATATCAACAACTCTGGACGATCTCTACCTGCGAAAATGGCGTTCAGGGTGCCTTTGCCATATAAGATTGGTGAAGAAGCATTCCCTGGCAATGCAGAGGAGAAGGTGCGGTCTGAGGCTGCAACATACATCTGGATCAATGAGAACTGTCCGGATATACCTATTCCAAAGCTACAAGGATTTGGAGTCCCTGGTAGTCTCAGTGTGAGTGCATAATAGTCTTCAGCTACTATTATATAGACTGCTAACATCTAACATCTAGTGAGCAGTTCTTTGAGCCCAGCTTTGTTCCACTCTGGCAAAGGATCAAGTCTGATATCTGGCGCTTTATCTGTCGTCTGTGTGGAAGCCCAGGATTTTGCAAATACATCCCACGCAAGAGAACTACATTCTTCGAACATGGTTATATCTTGATTGACTGGATCGAAAGCGACGAATCACAAATGCTCTCGTACACATTTAACAAACCGCATACAGAAGCACAGACCCAGAATCTTTATCGAAGCATGTCAAGAATTATGATTTCTCTTGCTAAGATTCCACAATCTCGGATTGGCTCTTGGACCATTGATAATGTTGGCCAAATTAGTCTGTCCAATCGTCCCATGTTCTGTCACCTTCATCAACTGGAAAACTGGACTATCCCAACTGATATCCCGCGGAACATGACCTACACAAGTGCCGATAGTCTCTATCTTGATTTACTTGCTGGCCACGACAATCGTTTCCAATATCAAGGAAATGCCGCCTTTAGCGAAACAGATGCACGTGCCCAAGCTAGAGATCTAGTGCTTATGAGAGCAGTTCTTCATAAATTTACCAGTCGACATCTCCGTGATGGCCCATTTGTCATGCAGCTAACAGATCTGTATATCGGCAATATCTTTGTTGACAAGGACTGGAATATCAAATATGTTATCGATCTCGAATGGGCATGCTCTCTACCGCTTGAGAAATTGCTGCCTCCATGGTGGCTAACGGACAAGGGTGTTGATCAAATCAAAGGCCCAGAGTATGAACGGTTCAAGGCATGCTATGAGCAATTTACGGATATATTTGAACAAGAGGAGATGGGCGCACCACTACGTCACAATGGACACCACTACTCTCGGGCCGCAAGTATGAAAAGTGCTTTAGAGGATGGTCGATACTGGTACTTGAATGCATTGCAGACCCCAAAGGGTTTGTTCAATCTTTTCAGAAGACATATTAAGCCATTTTATGATAATGTCTCTAAAGAATCCCTCTCCGCAGCTTTATCTCCATTCTGGACACTTGGAATGACTTCATTTATGGATTCAAAACTGGAAGAATTTTCCCAGTACCGCCAAGAGGTTCGCGACATTTTCAATAGCGAAAAGAGTGGAAAGCCTCACTTCTACCTATGATAGCCATGATATCTGTTTGCTTCAATACAATGAAAAATCTTTACACTCTTCTAGGAACCTCTTAATCTTCGCGTCGGTCGCGGGCGTGAGTACCACTGCTGCTCATGAGTTGGGCTGCTTGAGGGTCTCGGGTTACTCTTGAGATCAAATCCTCTCCGGTCCTTTCTGACGGTGGTGCAGGTTGTCCACCATGTTCCAGGGCAAGTAGCGTTCTTTCTCTTTCCACGTCAACGCTGTTGGTGCTTGTAGTATTGCTCGTAGTATTGCTTGCAGCAGGACCGTGAGTGGCAGCAGTGCTATCGACTGTCGGTGCACCTGTAGAATGCTGCGTGCTGGCCTGGGCCTCGCGAAGAAGAGCCTAGGCTCGAGGTATTCGGGCTCCAGCGACTGATCTCCTGGTACTGACCATGCCAAGACTGACTGGCGGTCGTCTGGCTCCCGGCCGCGCTTTGTTGCGTGGTATTGTCAGACGTGCTGGGGGTCGACATGATGACTTTCTGTCTTCATCGTTAGCTAATGTTATGAGCTATGCTATGTGTTGCCATACCGTAGGTTCTTTCGCACACAAAATGATTTTGCCTTGCTCTTGGGATATCTCGCTGCTATTGATGAAAGCTTGAAACCGTGCAAGTAATGCATTTTATGCAGGGCAGAGTAGCGAACTGTTACATTTGTATATATATTAGGCAGCTGTGGTCTTATTGTCAGGCTATTTCTTACAAGGATTCTGTTCTTTCCCAGCCTTGGGCTCTGCGCTGTACGACATGGAGCGTGGAACTGAGTGGATCGAATGAAATTTCGGAGCCAGGTAACTGATTAGAAAGTATAGCAACGCCGAAAGCAGTAGAAATCAATAGAAATCAGTAAAAATCAACGAAAATCCGCAAAAATACGTCACTCCATCCTTAACGTCAAGGTTACCCTGTGAGACCTGCAGGTTTAATCCTTCCACCATATAACTTCCCACCTAGCTAGCAATCCTCAATCAAGCAAGCTTTACACCTTTCCACAGGTTATAAGGCCCATTTTGCGCACAACGCTGCCAATTCGGGATTCCTTGTTGATATAATCATTATTTAACTACTGCTTCATTCAATACATCTTTCAGTGTTAAAATTGTCTTATTACATCTTTTTTGATGCATTCTAGAAGTCTTGTTTTGATTCTACACTGCTGCTCACTTAGAGAAGCTTGCAGAGTGGAACACATCAACCTTGTAAAAAAGTAAAAAAGAAAACACTCAATTGATGATTACAACACCACTGAAAGCTTATATTGATAAGAATCTGATTTAAGAAACTCTTAATAAGAAAAGAAAAAATTTAAAATGATGAATTTTAAACCTCATTAAATACACTGCATTACACATTCACAATCTCATATTCTGCTCTCTGACTCAGTAATGATGAATGATGATATTCTTTCACATTCAAACTCTGCTTATAATCATCTGTCAAAAGTATTTGAAAGCTCTATTAATAAATTTAATTTTTTTGAAATATTGTTCTGATTTGAAGCTGAATTGAATACAGTTTTTGATATAATCAAATTGTCAATTCAATCTGTTCATCTTATCTAAATTGTCAGATAATTTGATGAGATGAGTTCATATTATAATGATGAAATTTAATGTTATGAAATCTTGCTTTTCAATGATATTGTGTCTGATCAGCAGATGCAACATTTTATGATAATTTTTGAAATGAAAAAGAAAAAATATAAGATTTTAAAGAAGAAACACAAAACTGTTGAACTTTAATTAAAATTAATTATCTGATAATTTGATGAGATGAGTTCATATTATAATAATGAAATTTAATGTTATGAAATCTTGCTTTTCAATGATATTGTGTCTGATCAGCAGATGCAACATTTTATGATAATTTTTGAAATGAAAAAGAAAAAATATAAGATTTTAAAGAAGAAATACAAAACTATTGAACTTTAATTAAAATTAAAAAAAGTTTATAAATATAAAGCAGCTGTGAGTAAAATCTCATTTATCAATCATACATCTACTACTTTTATAGACCGAATATTTATGTGAAATATCAATTTCACAAGAAAAGTTAAAATATAATCTGTATGATCTAAATAGT